GAGCCAGACTTAAAAAAAAAACGCGTGTCTGACATTTTATAGCAGCCTACATTGGCGCGCAAAATAATTTTGGCTAAAAACCGTTTCTTTCCAAACAGAAACATGAGAAAATTGAGCTAAAAGGCTTACCTGATGTATGTTTAAAATGTTTTTCTCTTTATGGTGTTTTTCAGTGCTTTGAGTAGAGAAGTGAATAACTTTTGGTTTTGTCAACGCAATTTGCCTTTGAAAATGTCGGCTGTCATTGTCTGTGTTAAAAACACCTCAGAAAATTCCTATTTTCTCACCTTCCCATCCTTGGTTTATATTGAAAACAAATAGATTCTACTACCGTATGTCCTTTTAAATATATTTGAGGTAATTAAAAACTCCAAAGATGTACAAGCACTGTGTTTTGGCTTGCACATTTTATTGAATTTGAACACTTAGTTACTGTTCTAAATTTCATGTTGTAAACATCTTGCCCAAAAAAGCAAAGGAGTATTTTTTATAATTTTTGATCATTTTCTAATTCATATCCCAATAGATGAAAATTGGTTATAATATAGATATGTACTAATTTAGTAAATATTTTTTTTTTTGGTTTTTATATAAATATATGGAGATATTGCCCCTTTAGGTGATGAGTGACATGAAAAAAATAGTGTCACTGGTTTACAAATAAAAATTCTCATTGAAAAAACTAAAGATATATATAGGTATGCAAGTTCATTTAAACTAAATTTGGTCAATCATATATTAATAATATTTGGTTGAAAAGACCAGATTTTTTCATGCAACTGTTTCTGAGATATTGCCATTATGGTGAAAGCTCTTGAATTCAGTCACGTATTCGCCATTTTGGTTGCACGTTAGGGGGGTAGAAACATTGTAACAGCTTGGGCGTTAATGAGTTAATCAATGAAATTATTTTGACAAAAATAAACAACATGTCTTGTGTGTTATCCACATGACGTCTTCGCAGACATCCGCCTTTCTCTTAGCTAATCAAACCGGAAGCTTTAAGCTTGTTTTGATCTGCTTTTAACTCTTTAACGACACGACCCTATTACCGCAATGCTTGTAAGCAATACGCTTTGCCGAGTTAATATCTTCGGTTCATTGAATGCTATGAGGACAAAAATACCACCATTCGATTCAGTGTGACTAGATCTCCTCACTCGTAGCAATAGTTTTAGTCATTGGCAACATTATAGCGATTTATGAGCTTTAAAAGTAAAGTGAGATCGAATACGATCAAATTACGCATTTTACCAACAAATTATAAAAACATAAACATACCTTACGCCGAATATAACTTTGGCCCCTTGAAACGTATGCTCATTGCGATATTCTTGATGAATTAATCATTTAAAATGCCATGTATAACGTTATTTCCAAGCTTCTATCCTTAAAGGGTGACTTTTAGTGCCGAATTTTACATTTTTGCTCCGAATTTGCGGTAATCCCAACCGGAAATACGACGAAAACTCGTCAAAACAATGCCACGCTTGTATCGCGTGACTCTGGAAATGCCAGAAATGGATTCTACAGGTCAAAGTGCACCCATACGCGTGAGTTTGACGTCATCCCGGCTAAAGGGAGCTCCTTATTGGCCAAGTATTATGTAATACAAGCGCGTGCGAGTAAAACCCGATACTTTAAAAATTCAAAATAAATATTTCTACTCGTCATATTCATACGAAACTTTCTACACTAAAGCGCTTGAATACAAAGAGTATTTTGCACATATAGCCTTTCCGAACATGACGAAAAGTTTAGAAGATATTCAACTTTTTCTCTTTTTATCGTTTGAATGTTTGGGGAAGCGGTGAGTATAACTATATGATTGTTTCGGTTTGGATAATGTTCGACAACACTTGACCCCCCGTTCGAAAGGTTATTTTGTGAGGATTACAATGGTGGGTTTTGTTTTAAAGTGGGGTAAATACTCGCCGCGATATTTACATTTGAAAAATTGAATTGTAATGTAATGCGAAACTACTTGTTGACAAGGAGTTCCGCCATTTGAGTCGCAGCGCTTTTCTAGGCTTCTAGCATTGATTTAAATCGCGTAATCACCAAAGAGTATAACGTAGCTTGCTTATAGTTTTATGTTGATCACATGTAACACGCTTGTTTGTCTTTTTATTTTGAATTTTATATTTTGAATCGGTTAGTCGGTTATCTGATATTTAGAAGACTCATGAAACCGATCTGTAAAAATAACCGATTCATCTCGGTTAACCGAATAACCGCATCACCCTAATTTTCAACCTACCGGCCCTAATTTTTTCACGATATGAAACCGGAACCACAAGTATTTTTTAGGCCTTATTTTCCTGTTTATGAGTGACTTGTTTATGTTTGACTTGTTTATTACTAACACAAAAGATTGTCCATGTATAAGCCTCTCCTGTATATAAGCCCACCCCCCTTGCATAAGCCTATCAAAAATCACTTATGAAAGAATATACTGTAAGCCCAGGGCTTTGTATAGTCGGAGGTTTACGGTATCAAGTGCTATCCTCCAAGATGATAATTTCAAACTTTACTCACTGATAAATGTGACAAAACAGTTGAGAAAAACGTGAACTGAAATCTACAGTTTTTAGACTGAATAGATTTATAACCAGTGTAAGTTAAGGTTGCAACTAATGCGACGTCATAAATTAGCGGATATATTCACGCTCGTTTGCATATCAAACAAATTGAAATATCTCTGGAACAAACCAACAAAACTAGCAACTGCATGAAAAATAAGTTGCACTTCAGCTTAAACTCTTTCATTCAAGAAAATAAGAAATTTCATGTCATATACACTTTAAGCTTTAAAACCACAACAAGACTTACCTGACAATCATGTGTCAGGCACAAGAAGTGCTGGATATTTAGAAAAGGATTTTTGGTATAAATTTTTAAAAATAATCTTTATTAACAAGAAATATAATTCCACTTTCTCTTCGTAATTGCTGTAAAATCCAAATGTTTGAAAGTAAGAAACAATGTGTTCAACAATTCTAATAGTGATTTTGCCCTTCAAGACATTAGTCAAGGGATATTCTGTGGTACACACCACTGGTATTCTGATGTAATTTTTCACACCCAACACTATTAGCACCGGCAGGTACAAAACGCAGGTTGCATGAAATAGCTCTTTAAGCTGTAGTGTACGGTGGGTCACAGGGGACACTCTAGAAATATAAATACCAGCTTTCACAATTTTATGTGAGGTTTTCAGAATTTTATGTGAGGCCTTTAGAATTTTATGCAAGGCCTTCAGGGTTTTATGCGAGGCCTTCAAAATGTTAAGCGAGGCCTTCAGAATTTTATGCGAGGCCTTTAGAATTTTATGCAAGGCCTTTAGAATTTTATGCAAGGCCTTCAGAATTTTATGTGAGGTCTTCAAAATTTTAATGCGAGGCCTTCAGAATTTTATGTGAGTATCCCTACCATAGACATCTCTGGACACTCCCAATACAAAGGCCTTCAGGATTTTATGTGAGGCCTTTAGAATTTTATGCAAGGCCTTCAGAATTTTATGTGAGGCCTTCAGAATTTCATGTGAGGCTTCAGAATTTTATGCGAGGCCTTCAGATTTTTATGCGAGGCCTTTCGAATTTTATGCGAGGCCTTCAGAATTTTATACGAGGCCTTCAGAATTTTATACGAGGCCTTCAGAATTTTATGTGAGTATCCCTACTATAGACATCTCTGTACACTCCCAATACATCACTAGACCTCTTTAGACCTGCCTCATCTAAGAGGATAGCACTGATATTTGTTTTGGGGCTAAATTTTTGCTTTAGTTGTTCAATTTCTCCTTCGTGATATATTCTGAATGCGTAATGAGCTAACTTGTGGGCCCACAGATCGCGATTTTAATTAAATTATCTATTATTTGAAACAAAAATGTAAACAAAATACGTGCATGAGCAGAACGGACTTGACAGCCTCTTTAAAAGGCTATTTATATTAAAACGTTTGTATTTATATCTCTTAAGTGGGGTGATCTGATCTTTTTCATAGTGTATATTACAATATGCATCATATGTTTTGTTGTATTATTTCTCGCTAATTATTGATATTATCAAACTATTTATAGGCTTTGTATTGTTATTGGCCAAGTTGCTCATCCGGTGTGAAAAACAAAGTAAAGCAAGGTGAATTGCCTGATAAAGAAAAATGGACGAAATATCGAGTAAGGGTGTTTGTGTATCTTATTATACTGTTGTGTTATTATTACATTATAGTAGAATGATATACAACAGTATATGTTGCTGGGAAAGACTGTTCATGTAAATATGGATGATTTCTAGGGAAGTTATTATTCGTTCCCGGGAACATTTAAAGAACATTTTATTTTATCTTCCTGAGCTCATTTAATTGTAATATTTATCAGATAGTTACAAAAAAGCACTAGAACGTTTGAAACGTGCCGAAGAAACGTCCAACATGGAATCAGAAGAAGAGGGTTCTCGAAAGCGAAAAAGGACACAGCGTGGACAGGACTATGATAGCGAAAATGGTAAGCCTAACAATGCGAACTTAAGAGTGAATGTCAGTAAAAATCGAACATATGAGACATTTCGCGGCCACGACTGAAAAATCAATTTTGCTCAAATTTTGCCCAGATATACCTTATTATATCGGAAAATGCACCATATATTTTTTTAGGTCAAATGCTTTTTTAACTTTGAGAAAATGCCGTTTGAACACGACCACCCTAAATCGCCATTTTTTCTGGGAAAATATGTGCTGATTTTACAGATAAATTTCACAACGACAACCGTTTCTAATCGATCTAAAACCCTAAAAATCTTGTTTTCGGTTATTCAAAGGACGGTATACATGACTTACAGGAAATCTGAGTTACTTTTAGGAATAGATATAATCGTAGTTTTGGAGCACACTATCTTACTTCATTTACGATACCCTCTTAACAAAACCGATTTTCACCATGTGATAAAGCCCCAAATCGATCATGCTTCTACTAGTTGGCTCTTTAATAAGCAAGTTTTCAATTGACGTAAATACTTCTTTTGGCAAATTAATACGCGATAAACGACAGCGCGTTGAAATCGTCCGTTTTTGACGTCTTGCAAGTCAAACGCTGTTAATTTACATACCGTCGAAGTAAACAATTTAATCAAGTATTTTAAGTATTTTACCTTTTGAGAAGAAGATATATTCTTGAATGGAGACTTTTTGCCTTGCTTAGTTTAAAATTGGTCCAAAAATCCCGAGATATTTGTAAAATATCATCATATACAGGTATTTTGACATATAATATTGTTGTCAGTTGCATGACAACTTCAGATCATTGTTCAATATTGTCTGCTTTTAATAGCAACTATCGAGTATAAATGTTTACGAATACATAAGTTAATTATTAAGCAGCTGTTAATAGCGTGCGTGTGAAATGAACATTTATCCATACAAGGATTTGTTATTTTATTATATATTCTACCACCTCAAACTCAAATTATAGGCATACAGCAAATACTGTACTTTAGAATAATGTGTGTTTACTTTGATGCACAGTTAAAATAATCAGTAAAATTACTTTATTTTGATACACTAATGTCTATTGATCTTATTATATTTCACAAGTACTAGGACCCAAAAATACAGCATTGAGATATGTTGGCCAAGTGCGACACCACAAATTATTATTGTCTCCCCACACGTCACGTTTAAAGAAAATGAAAGCTTGTTGCTCGTTTAACGCTGATTAACCACATGCCAAATACGGCAAATGCCGCGGGCCTCGCGCTTTAAGGTGGAGTAATACGGGCAACAAAATTGCTGCAACTTGCAACAAAATCTGATTTCTACGCATGTTAATTGAAAATGTTTACACATACATTACAAATCACGAGGCAACATGTGTCGACATTCCTATTTAACATGCCTTGAAATCAGATTTTGTTGCAAGTTGCAGCAATTTTGTTGTTCGTATTACTCTAGCTTTACTGTGCTACGCCTATTTTTACGAGAACATGGCCATTTTCTATTGGGACACGCGCATTAGGGCCCCTAGGCTTGGTAGTTCGCCCTAGCATGGCCCCGGGAAAATATGCAATACTCGTGTTCATATAATCTCTAGTTGCGTTGAGCTGTTATATTATGATCCTGTTTATACCCACCAACTGCGCCAGGCAGGCCATTATCTTGTTTATAATTGATGCAAATAAATTGCAATATTGAAAACAATTATTTAACACTTTTGTGTATCTTTAAATTCAATGGTTTTCATAAAAAGAAGAAAGGGGAGGTTTGGGGGCCTCGTGCTAAAATTTGCCACGGGCCTCGCGCGACGTTAATCCGGCCCTGGTCACTTGTCGGTAGATCTTGCGGTTTTAATGCCAATTGACAAAGATCAAAAGAGAGCACTGATGACTCCCCCCGGTGGAGAAATACTGGCGCAGCCCAAACCAGCTCAGTGAAATATGGGGCCCCAGGGCCAATTATACCCTTGGGGCTCCGGTGAACCACAATTATCCCCCTCCGTCGACAAACTTTTTGTCGCCTTGCAAATTTGTATTTGCCTGTCTTCCTTGAGCTGGGGTCGCAGAGAAAATTGCTCCTTTGCCGCCTCCCTTTGCCGCCTCCCGCAAGGGTGGCCCTGGCGCCGCCCTTGTCTTATCATAACTATCTACCCTAATTCAAGCTGATTGGCACGGCTCGATGAATTAATTGCCGCTTTCAAACAGAGGTTTATTATTTTAAACCTCTAGAACCAGGGTACCTTTTGTCACTCTGAGGCCAGCGAAATAACCTCTAACGCAACATGCACGTACGCGTCTACTATCGTCAAGAAACAATCAATACGTATAATCGTTGTGGTCTGTGGGATTTTAATTCAATAGTGTAAACCTTGCAGTTTTAGGGAAGCCTCACATATCGATTTTTTCCACAAGAAACGTCAAATGTTCGTTTTGGGGGTGGGGGAGGGGGTTTACAGCTGTGACGTTTCTCTGTAAATATCATGGAAAAGTTCAATAGTTTTTTCGAATACCTTAACATTTCGGAATCAACTTTGCAGAGTATAAAAAAGAAAACAACTTGAAAGAAAACGACTATTCAAATATAAGGGCTGGTAAACTAATAATAAAAACTCCTTATATGGATAAACATTATAAACGTTCATTTCACATGTACACGCACGCTAACAGCTGCTTAATAATTAACTTACGTATTTGTAAACATCTGTCGATAAATAAAATGGTACATTAATATGGACAAAATGGATCAAAACCTTTGAAAACAGCAGTTGTAGTTCCAATTCTTTTGCGCAAATATAATCCTTAAATAGCTCATCGATTTGTATAATTATATTAGCGCTTAAGTCAAACGGCCGGGTCGTAGATCACGTTGAATAATGATCTGAAGTTATCATGCAACCGTCAACAATGTCTCAAAATACTGGATGTTTGATGATTTTTTTTACAAATATACCGGGATTTCTGGACCACTTTTAAACTTAGCAAAGCGAAAAGTCCCCATTCAAGAATATATGTTTTTTTCTCAAAAGGTAAAATACTTAGAATACTTGATTAAATTGTTTACTTCGACGGTGTATAAATTAACAGCGTTTGACTTGCAAGATGTCAAAAACGGAAGATTTCAACGCGCTGTCGTTTATCGCGTATTCATTTGCCAAAATAAGTATTTACGTCAATTGAAAGCTTGTTTATTAAAGAGCCAACTAGTAGAAGCATGATCGATTTGGAGCTTTATCGCATGGTGAAAATCGATTTTGTTAAGAGGGTATCATAAATGAAGTAAGATAGTGTGCTCCAAAACTACGATTATATCTATTCCTAAAAGTAACTCAGATTTCCTGTAAGTCATGTACACAGTCCTTTGAATAAGCGAAAACAAGATTTTTAGGGTTTTAGATCGATTAGAAACGGTTGTCGTTGTGAAATTTAGCTGTAAAATCAGCGCATATTTTCCCAGAAAAAATGGCGATTTAGGGTGGTCGTGTTCAAACGGCATTTTCTCGTTAAAAAAGCATTTGGCCTAAAAAAATATATGGTGCATTTTCCGATATAATAAGGTATATCTGGGCAAAATTTGAGCAAAATCGATTTTTCAGTCGTGGCCGCTTTATGTTTGATTTTTGTGGACATCCTCTCTTAAGTTCTTCAAATTGATTTGTTTAGTCATAGTTAATAGAAAAAGAGCATGGTTAGGAAATCTTTGTTCTATGGTATGTTACGTATTGTAAAGGTCTTAAAGATTGAAAAGGTCTTTAAAGTTCACCGTCGTTTCTAACCATGCTTACATCTGTTAACTCAGGTTCAGGTCTAGTTATATGACATTCATACGTGCGTGAATTTTACTTTTAATATTTTGGATTTAATTTGTTGTAGCTGGTGATGATGGTAACTCTACTGACGATGACGGCGAGGAGTCTATAGAAAGGGTCAAAAGAATTTCACTTCCAAAACCACCAGAGTTTTCAAATGGCCGAAGAAATTCCATTTTGCAACGTGAAAATTATGCGAGTATGTATTTTTTCTATTGAATTAAGTGTTGTTAAAATGGTGACATATCTTTGGTGATGTTCGTTGATTGCACAAGAATAATTCGTACTTTGCTCTGATTAGGTAGAAATAGACAGAATGCAAGTCGGACCGCCGCTTCTACGGGTGTACCACGATCAAGAGGACCAAATTTGTGTGGCACCTCGTTAGAAGCTAACAGAATTTCACCTTTTTCTTCATCAGGTATGTTTATCGAATTGATTACAACGCTTGTTCATTTAACGTGAAGCTTATGGAAATTGAAATTGCATGAAAGTATTGTATTGTGAAGAGGTGTCAAAAATGAATCATACATACAGTCGTGCATATCCATGGGATATGGACATATAGTTAAAGGCATTGATCATTATCTCGTTTTTCTATAGTTTCATATCGTAACTTATGTATTGTTTGCAAGCAGGTTAACATGTTTTGATAATTATTCTTCAAATTATATCGATCCTTCGGGCAAAACCCTGGGGAAATATTTTATCAAAATCCCCTTGTTCCAGGTCTGTAATTGTTTCTTCATCGAATGTTATTTGAAAAAAATTAATGTTTAGTTTGATGGATTATTACCATATCCTAGGTACGAGTGCTGTCAATCTCAGGAGGACACAACATGTTGGTGACACTACCCGGCATATAATGACAAAATTAGGAACGAACAACCTATGGTTGAAGTTTAGTCTTAAAGGAAGAAAAGGAAAATTTGCCTTTAAAGACTCTTCATTGTTCACTGTTGTAAAAAAAGTAAGTATTTAAATTTGAGTGTATTTTGCCAAATATTTGCAACATGCAGGGTACACCAATATAATAGGTTTATTGCCATGTCGTAATAAACTAGAATTTTTTTTTAAATGTTTTCATTAAATGTAAACATACAATGTCTCCGTTTTTATTTCTGTTTGTAGAGTCGTGTATTAGAGTGCATTCGAAGGTTAGTGAACCGGAAATCGAAGAGCAGATCCAAGAGATATTAAAACATGCACCGAATAAGCCAGGAGGCTCCAGATTTAAGGTATTTGTAACTATATGTTATTTTAATTCTTAGCTATTGTACATTGGAGATGCAGATGCTCAAAACTGCTGGATATAATGAATGTGGTTTTATGGTGTTATGATAACATCCGATTAAATATATCCCAGAATTACAGAATTAGTCACTAATTGCCGAATTAGTAACTAATTGAAACAATTGTCCCCTGCACTCAAAAGTGTAAATTTTCATGTAAAAAATTGTATACTGTGTCCTTGTATTATACTCGCATAAAAATTCTTCGTGAAATTTTGTTCAATAATATATTCACTTCAAAACGTCTTTAGATCGACATCTTGCGAATTTTTGTTCAATGATTACTCATTATTTACATTTTGTAATTTTCAACACCCTATACATGTATGTATGTATGCATGCATGTATGTATGGAAACATAAATATTTATAGCACTTTTAAGTTCTATAACTATATTTTTTTCTTATGTATAGTGCCGTGGTCCATTACAAAACGATGAAAATCGTCAAAATATAGCGGACTAGTTATTGTATATGTAAAAAAACTGTACATGTCTTAAAATACTTTAATATGTAACATTATTTAATATCAAAGTTTTTAAATAAATATCTCACTAACCTGTGTACATGTATCTTCGTTTTAATATGTTTAAATGTTGGAAAACATGCAGACAACGTAAATAAATAACATTGTGATAAGGTTGCTCTACAATGTAGTGGCGACGTTGTGACAACGTTTGCACAACGTTGTGACAACGTTGGTGTGCAAGAACGTTTTTGAGCTATCTGGTGAAAGTTTAATAGGCGTTGTGTGACCTAAGTAGCTTAAAAAATTACAATCTAACACAGGTATATGTTCTGTTAGTACTTAAATAGTTTTTCTACAAAATATGAAGCCTGTAAGCTGCAACAACCGATTTTAAAGAACGTCGTGACAACGTTGTAACAATGTTATTTCCCAACGTTATTCACGACGTTCCCTGGAGTCTACAAATTTTCGTTTTTACAGTTTTGAAAGGGCTCTAGCATCATACAATTTTATTTACCCAAAGAAATATACATATCATTAGAAAGCGCATCTTTTCAAGAATCGTTGGCCAAACTTTCGTGCGGTTTGAAGGTTTTGCACATTGTGAAAAATATTTTTGCTGTAGCATACTCTCGACATACTCCCAGAATGTCGAAAATTACATATTCCTTCATAAAAACTATATATATTACAAAAAAATCCAATCCTGCTCAAATTCACCGGAATCGATAAATAAATATGTATCTACAATACTTTAGGAAATATAGTATGTGGAATCACTGGTTTTGGTAAACAAGAGCGTCAAACCTGAGCACAAATTTGGTGCGTCAAATTATAATTTTTTCATAAAAAATTGTTCCCGAAACTATGCAATATTTTCTCAAAAAAGCTATACCATACTTTTTAATATATCATTGCCTATCTAATATAAAAATTTGAAAGAATACGAAGTTTTGAATCTTGCCACGATTTTTAAAATTTGTTTGTTTTATTTTGACATTGACTCTTAAGGGGCCTCACCACAAGAAAATATTTTCCCACAATGCTTGCACTGGGAATCTCCACATTGCCTTTCATGGTAGGCCACATCTTTTGCTCTCTTAAATGTCTTTGAGCACCTTCTACATTTGTGTTCAACAAGACCACAGTCAATGTCTTCCCTCATGCTTTGTCTAGCTTTCCTTTTCCAATCCTGAAAGAAATTTTTGAAGGATTAATATGTCACTTCAAAATATGTTTTACTCAAAACATACATTGCTTGGAAATTATGAATAACTATCAGAAGCACAGTTCTCATTCAAATTATAATTTGGTTTACACTATGGGACATATGCTGTAATTTCACACACTCCCCCAGTAACACCCCTCCCCAGTTCAAGGTTGCAAGACCCCAACATTGAAACAGGTAGTGAGAGGGATGATGGAAACATGTATCAAGAGGGAGGATGGAAACATGTATCAAGAGGGAGGGATGATGGAATACATTATAGTGCATGTGAAAACTGGATTGTTTCGGTAATGTATGTTAGCAAAGATTGCAGCAGTGGGGGCTCTGCCCCCCCCCCCTCCTCAATGACCTTGAGGGCTGCCTTTGTGAAAAGCTAAAATCTGGGAATAAAAGTTAGGTATGCTGTATGATCTTTGGAATTCTTCAATCTCGCCCCAAAAGTCCATCAATTCTTTTTCGTGGGGAGGGGGCATGCCCCTGGAACCCCCTAGATAGTCTCACACCTTCTGAATTAATCCCCCCCAAAAGTATGATAAGTAGATCGAGGTCTATTTGGTAGGTATTGTTTCATTAAGTAGCTTTTTATTAGGGGTGCACCGGAACTCGGTTCCGGCCGGTTAGTTCCGGCCGGAACCCCGATTTTTTAGAGTTCCGGTTCCAGCCGGAACTAGTAAAAAAAGCATGGCCGGAACCGGAACTCTGTCGTTTTCAGAGAGATAGAATATCAAACGTTTTTGTGTCTAACAAAAGGTCACAGTAGGAAGAAATTTGGACTACGCAAGGGAAATGTACACTATTAACACTTCATTATGACGTTTAACGCTTGTCAATCTTTTTATTCTAACATTTGCGAGCTCTCTCCTTGATGACTTGAAGTATCTGCCTGTCTTGCAGCGGACAAAGTAACATATGACTATATATGGCTAAAAAAATCAGTTCCGGTTCCGGCCGGAACTTTTTTCCAGTTCCGGTCGGATCCGGTTCCGGCCGGAACTTAAAAAACTGGTTCCGGTGCACCCCTACTTTTTATTACGTATATTGATTACTGATCAAGATTCGTTTTTATCTTCTTTAGGAAAGCAATACCAACAAAATATATATAGTACTTATGACTATTATAAAATAATATTTATTTATTAATTACCTCTGAGCATAGTCTCAAGTATAGTCCTCATAACATTTGCATCTGAACGATTTTAAAGGGAAATGGCAATATATTTTTTTAATTTCTCATTTGAAAGAACTTTTGAAACTATTTAATAACTTCTTTTACTTATTCTGCATATCTTGCTTAGTTCTTGAAATATTTTCACTTGAAATAATGAGATGTCAGCCATCTTGGATAAATTTTTGATTCATTAACGTTAGTTTTGGTGATGTCACAACAGGGATTAACCATATAAAAGCATTTGTTGCTGACCAAATATTGATTGGTAGATGTTTTAAAGGTTTTCAAGTGATCTTGGTATTTGCAAGGGCATACAGAGTATAATTTTGAGTGCAAAATGATTCGTGGTTGTCTAGATAAAAATATTGTGTGACCCCTGTTGTGACGCAACTTGCATATCTACAAAAATCCAATATGGCAGACATTTCATTTCTTTCGATTAAAATATTTGTAGAAGTAAGCAAGATATGAAAAAACGGTAAAAGGGTTGTATATATGGTTTTAAATGTTCTTTCAAATGAGAAAATAAAAAAATATATTGCCATTTCCCTTTAAGTAAATATATTACAAGGCCTGTGCGGTTTCTTATTAAATTAAGAACAATTTGGCAAACTATTATATCCGTTGGCTGGACACAAGATTTGATGAAGCTGTATTAAAAAAAAGCTGCTGAAAAGTTCAAAGTTCAGCTGTATGTCAAAATTATCACTGAATAAATGGCCCAATTGTTTACTCATCGCAACACTCTTGTAAAATGCATGATAGCCAGTGTATCTTATCAATTTCATCGTCTCTTTACTGGTTGTATTTTCATTGATGCATTGCCTATCCTGATGCTGTTGTGCGTCTTCCGCCATATCGATTCAACAATGAACATACATTGAGTAATTTGACATTCGCGTGTTAATGGAAATGCCAAAACGTCAACACAAACTCCATCGGTACTATTCGTCCATAATTGTCGCCTGATGATGACTACTGCTGAATGAAGAAATGATGCTACCAACCATTAAAGATGCTATCGACTGACTATCTACAGATTCCAAATTTTGGCCTCGCAAAATCAGGTAAAAACGTTAAATTAGAAAATTCCAGGTAAATCTAACCTTACCCCCCCAAGTCCTAGCAATGGCCCTGAATCCTATGTTGTATTAACCCATTAATGAGAAAGGTTACACATACATTGTATTTCGGCCAATGCCAGATGATTTTGTTCATTTTTTACCACTGATCAGGCTGATGTACTGTTGCCTCTTAGTATATTAAATTATTTAAATACCCATGTATAAAGCTCATTAGAAAATCTTAGCAATAACCCCCATCCCCAGTTAATAATACTGTACGTTTGTCACTTTGTTCATTTCAGAATGAAGACCATTGCCATTTTAAAAAAAGGAGATTTCTGCCACAGAACACAATTAAATTTAACTGTCTAGCTAGGATTCTTCTCCAAGAGGTTATAAAGTTCCCAGAATTAAAGGTACCAACTTACACATGCTGATTTCCCACCATAATAGACTGGTTCACTTAATTTATTTCTACTCACTTTACAGATAAGAGACGATACAGCTCTACTGCGGAGGGACATGTCAGAGACACTTAAGAAGGGCATATGAAACATGAAGAGCATGCAACTGGAGAGGTAAGCATGCTTTGAATGCTTTCGATGGCCTTGGCCAAGGGGCAATTTCCCCCCTCCCACATTACGGCCCTGATTGTGGAGCGTATTATTTCGAACAGATATATATTTTATATAGACCCATGATTGCAGTTTACCTTTTTGGCTTAATAGACTCTTAACTTAAGGGGATCTAGTATTAAGTAAACAAATTTAATTATTATAGATTTGTGTTTCTTTGTTTGAGGGGAGGGGGCGGGGGAGTATTAAAAATTGAGGATATATGCTAACACATCTCCTCTATTTATGAATTGGTTAGGCTGGTGGTATTTTGCAACCAATCGACAAGCGAATTGTCAGGAAAATTGAAGCACTTGTGGGGGAAGGAGTAAAGACAGTTGGTGAAATAAAAAGACATTTACAGCAATTTGTTAAACATGAACTGTTTCAAGACAACAAACCTTGCCCTTCAAAAAACAACCGACAATACGATCCTAACAATGTCGATATACAGAACCATATGTATCGCGCAACCATAAAAAAATATGCTGTCAAAGATTGACCAAGAAAATTTGGAGAAAAAAATTGAAATATGGAAAAAGGACAGCCCTGATGACTCCATATTCTTTCGACCTTGTTTAGTATCTCCATACGATAAAACATCTGAAGATGAAAAAGACGACATCACAGCAAACGTTTCTGAAAAGCTACTTTTTGCCTACCAGACAACGTGGCAAAAGAGACTCATGACACGGTATGGAAATGAGATGACATTACTAGATGCAACATATAAGACGACAAGATATATAATTTACCTTTATTTTTTTCTGGTGGTAAAAACTAATGTGTCAATTATGCAGTTGTTGGGGTTTTTGTGATTCAAAATGAAACTACTGTTGACATAACCGAAGCACTGCAAATTTTCCTCAGTGGAATCCTTTGTGGAAGCCATAATTTTTTATGACAGATTTTTGTCAACAGGAAATTACAGCAATAGAGACAGTCTTTCAAAGTAAAACATACTGCAGCTTGTTGCAAAACTAGTAATAAATTTTTTGATTATATACATACAGTAATATTCACACTCGCCAAGTGCCAAAACTCATCTACGACGCATAGCGTAATTGAGACAATGTTCCTCACATGTGAAAAAAATCGTCCGACCAATCAAAGATCGCGGACGATTTTTCTCACATGTGAAAAAAAAGTATCGAATTTTCCCGCCATTTACCGCCCAACGCTTCGCTCAGTCAATCGCTTCGAAATATTATAAATGGCTTCCCGTTTTGCAGACCTTGACATTTCTGTCGACCAATTCATCAAACAACAAGAAAATGAAAACACAAAGAGAAAAACTGAACAAAATCTATCATTATTAAATTAGTTTCTTAGTAGCAAGAATGAAACTAGAAGCATTGAGGACATTCCTTCTGCGGAATTAAACCTTTACCTGAGCGAGTTTATTATTAAGGTTCGTACAAAACAAAATAAGGATTACGAACCAAATTCCCTGCGCGGTATGGTAGCCAGCTTCGAAAGACATTTAAAAAAGACAAACTATGGTTTAAGTATGAAAGATCTACAGTTTGAACAGACTCGAAAAGCTTTGGTTTCAAAGCAAAAGGATTTAAAACGACAGGGAAAGGAAATAAACCGAATGCTTCGTCTGCTCTCAGCGAAGACGACATAGCTGTTTTGTATGAAAAAGAGTTGCTGGGCACATCCAGTCCCGATGCTTTACTGAACACTCTTTGGTTCAACAATACAATACACTTTGGATTACATGGCTGTAAAGAGCGTCGCGATATGACTTGGGGCGACGTGAAATTACATAAAACACTCTGTGGCGAGGAATATTTGGAATACACGCTTGGGGGAAAACACCAGAGATGTGCGAAAAGTAACTCCAAAAATCCTATTTCTGCATATAGACTTTTTGCAGAAAAACGTCTGGCAGAAATGAACAGCGACGATAGCCCATTTTATCTTGCTGTAAACAATTTAAAGAAACCTGAATCCATTTCATGTAAAGCTTGGTTCAAAAAAGCCCCTAGCCGAGGGGAAATAAACTAAATTCGATAATGAAGAATATGGCTGCGAAAGCTGGACTTACTACCAAATTTACCAACCACAGCGGAAGGAAAACAATGATGCAGGCCTTGGTAAACCAAAACTTTCCACCAACAGACATTATTCAACTGTCGGGCTACAAGAACCTGCAGAGTGTTACTCATTATCACAGGACGAAAATGCAAATTTAATAAGCTTTAAGGATCACCTAAAGTTTCTTAAAATTATAGGATAAACTTTAAGCTGCTTTTAAGGTGTTCTTAAATCTATTAGCAATTAAATATTGGTTTAATAATGCTTTAAGCAGCTTTAATTGTTAAAATAGTAATTAAACATTTCAGGCAATTTAAATTGTCAATGAAATGTTCATTAAATGTGATTGTTAACATTTAAGGATTTAAGGAGTAACCTAAATCCTATTAAAGTATTACGCTAATGAAATGTAGGTTTCCGTCGGCGCCGGAAATCTCCTTAAATTCAATAAACAGCTACATTTGCTTTAATGCGCTTTATTTGCGCTTTAATGGAGCTTTGCGCCTTAGCTTACAAAAGGAGTGCGCGCATGACATTAAGTCCAACTGTCCAAGGCTATTATACTGGCTGCGGTCATTCTAAAAGGATTAATTGGAAAGATTAACTTGTACTACCCTCCGAAAAAAACTTTTCTGTAATATCTTAAATCGGATATATTCACGCAATCGCATTTGCGTTACGTGGCAACGCAAGAATAAACCATGAATAAACCCAACCGCACTGCTTGATCATATCCTGTTTGTCGTATATTCTTGTATGAGACACAGTTAGACTGTTGCACTAAACCAGTTACGAAGTCAGGGCCATTCAAATTATTAAGTTGGGTTTATTCTTTGGGCTTTTGCTCACATTCTGTTAGCCATTAATTATATGGATCCATCCAAAGGCAAAGATGTTAAAGTGATGTGTGATCATTGTGACGAATTGGTTTCAAGGTCTACGTACGAAAGACATAATAGAAAGAGAAAGGTTGAGCTCTCAACTGCTCAAGCCAAACATATAAGTGTGTCTCCTGAAACTGATTCAGAAAGTGATATTGATGCTTGCAGCGATCAAAGTATTGAAAGCACTGGTGAGTTGTTACGCGCATATGTAGTTGTATAGGCCTATATAGCCATTTTTTAAATTAAATTGCCAATCGGAATTAATTTATTATTGCGACCAGCTAGCGAGCTGGGAACATCCTAATCTCAGGTATGGGAGATATTTGCTGGATTGTGTATTGGGCAAAAAATTATATGCAGCTCTTTTTTCCTCTGGATTGTGTTTTCGGCCCCCTTTGCGGGCTCATTTTATCCGTATATGGAACTCGTGATCATATATTTGATATACCGCATGGATTTACCATCCATGCAATAATTCAAAGATTAGTCGTAAACGTATAAAGCGAAAATTGTTGATGTTTTATTAACTAAGCACTTTCACAGTTTATTGTGATTTAAATAGCAGTGTTTGCAGTTATCAGATAAATATTTTGCTTGCAGAAGTGTGTACATAGCGTGAAAAAATAAAATGGAAAAATATATTTTTCACGAAGTAATTTTATGCTTTAAAATATTTGCTTTCGTGTGTCGAGATATATAGAATTATAATTAGTAAATTAGAATTATAACGTAATTATGTAGTGAGTTACAGGAATAGGGCTAGCGTCTACTAGAAACCTTCCATACAAGGCTTATAATTAAGACCTCTAGTTTATAAATTATTTATAATTATTTAAACTAACTTCCTGGGGCTCAAAGCTGAATGGCACTTACTTGGCCAGTTAGGTAAACTTATGTATAACACAAATTCATTAACTAATGTGTACGTACACACTGCAATATAACCTTTATTAAGTCAAAAGCAAAAATATCTATTCCATTTCCTATGGCACGGAGAAGATAAAACCATTACATTTTTCCTCCTTTACAGATATTAATAATTCTATCAATCCGGAGACTGCTAACATTGTAAGTATAATAAAATAAAATAAAATTATTTATTTTATTGTAAACGAAGATATAAGCAACTATTTCAAGAATATGCATGTGGAGATCGATAGAACAACTAAGTTAATTTACTGTGTATGTTTTTTTTACTGTACACTATGCAATATGTTTTGTGCGTGCATGGGACCGTCAGCTCAAAATTGTACAAACAACACTATATTTCCAGTTAATTTATTGCAGAGGGAAAATACATTTTATATTTAAAAATTCCTTAAAAAAATAAAATTACAATATGACAATTGTAAATGATTTGTTAAATGCTGGGTGGCGTAAAGGAAGTGCTTTTCGAGATGAATAGATATTGAATTCTAGTTGCGTGCTTGATAAGATATTGTTTTCAATAGGCCATTTCATTTAGGCAGCTCATTCCTAAACTTTTCAAACAAGCATATTCAAACTGAAATATTCTCGGTTAATACCGCACAAAATACTCATGGTATAATTAATCACGGAATTATATGCTATACTTTGTATTGCTGCAGTTGTGTGTATCTTGGTACGTTCATCAGTCTGCTTTGTGAGAAAGGGAATTTTTTTACGGAAAGCAATAACCTTTGTTTCCTTTGCAATACTCACGTATTCACCAATTAATATAGGTAGAAAAATGAACGTTTAAAGCAACTATATTGAATATGCAACCTTTCTCAAACGTTAGTGTTAATAGGATTTCATGACTAGTAAATTATGTCAATGTTTGAACTTAAACAAAAAAAATGTGTACGGTAAGCAAGGTTATGGTTGCGAATTTTCGAACTATTAGTTTATGGAGATGTATGTATGTTTACAATCGTGAAATTCAGGAAAACAAAAAAATATCTTCAGTCCACACTTTTGTACTATCTTAAGAGTAGAAAACCTTGTAAGCCAATAGCAGCTATACCGTAACTTTGTTATTTCACATTAGGGATAAGAGACCGATAAATACAAAGCATTACTATCTTTCTAATATTGTTAAATACAAAAACACCTTTGTGTTCTAGGATTATGATTTAGAAGATTTACAACCAGCAGCTACTTCGTGTGACGATGATGCGCGAGATAGCACAAATGAGTCTGACGAGGAGCCTCAAAGAGAAAATCCAAATCATGACTTCCTCTCTTCAACCGACGAAGATGGGGATGAAGAAGTCTGGGACGATGTGCTACCGGAAGAGTTGCAGAAAGATTTGCCTGTGTTGGACCACCCTCAACCACTTCCACGTCCAGAAATTCGATCAAAAGGTGTTGCTCACTCGCTAGTTTTCTGGTTGGTATACTTTTTGTTGGTGTGGCAGTTATCTGTGCACATCAGCGACAATGGAATGGCATGGTTACTGAAATTTTTATTCGGATGGCTTAAATTGTTGGGATTAGAAATAACAAACGATGTATATTCTCAAGTAATATTAGCTTTTCCTGTATCAACGTATATGCTCAGAGAATTTTTGAACTTCGATAGAGATAATTTTGACAAGTATGTTGTTTGTCAAAAGTGTCACAAGCTGTATCAGTATAACAAATGCGTAACGAAAGTACGCAACCATGAGGTTGGCAAAACCTGCGTGAATACCTGGCTAAAGAAAGGAAGACAAGTCATGTGTGGAGCTTCTCTGGTTTACAGAGTGCAGCTAGCGAATGAAAAATATTGTTTTTACCCAATCAAATACTATTGCTATAATAGCGTTATTAACTCTTTGGAAAAGTTAGTTCAGAAAACAGGATTTGCAGATAAATGTGAAGAGTGGTGAAATAGATCAATGACGAACAATGAGATGGCTGATATCTACGACGGCAGGTTATGGAAGGATTTTATGACCATTAACGGCAAGGACTTTCTCAAAGCTCCACGAAACTACGGCTTACAGCTTAATTTCGACTTCTTCCAGCCAATGAAGCGAAGAAAAGATTATTCGGTTGGGGTTTTCTATTTGGTTGTACTCAATTTACCACGGGCAGAAAGATATAAGTGGAAGAATGTAATTGTAATTGGCATTGTACCATCATTTGATAAGGAACCAAAAAATTTAAATCCTTTCCTTGAACCTGCAGTTAAAGAATTACAATGTTTGTGGAAGGGGATGAAGTTAAAGTCGTCAAAATGCAGGTTTCCAATCACTTTCAGAGCAGCAATTATGTCTGTTTCAGCAGACATACCTGCAATGCGAAAGCTTGGAGGATTTAAAAGCCACGCGGCTCTTCATGGATGTTCCCGTTGTTTAAAATCGTTTCCAAGATCTTTTGGAACTAAACCAGATTATTCTGGTTTCTGCAGAATGCAATGGACACCAAGAACAAATGCACAACACAGACGCAAAGCTCAATGTTTGGAAAACATTCGCCCTTCCACAAAAAAGGATGAATTCGGAAAAAAACATGGAATTACACATTACAGTGTCCTACTTGATCTTGAGTACATTGATGCGATTCGGTTTTTTACCATTGACCCAATGCATAATCTTTTTCTTGGAACGGCCAAGAAAATGTTTAGCTTGTGGATAGAAACACATTTATTATCCATCAAGAATCTTGAAGAGCTGGAGAAAAAGATTCAAGCCATGGACATTCCAAATTCAGTCGGAAGATTACCTGCTAAAATATCTTCCAACTACGGAAGTTACACAGCTGAACAGTGGAAAAATTGGACGCTGATATACTCTCTCGTATGCCTAAAAAACATTCTTCCGGAAGCCCATTTATCATGTTGGCAAACGTTTGTACTAGCTTGTACATACATATGCAAACCAGTGATTTCTGTTGCTGAATTAGAAGTGTTTGACGGGTTATTTGTGAAATTTTGCAAGGAAGTTGAAGCATTATATGGCAAAGAAGTAATTACGCCAAATATGCATCTTCATTGTCATTTAAGAGATGTACTATTAGACCATGGCCCCTCCGCTAGCTTTTGGTGCTTCAGCTTTGAGCGATACAATGGAATACTAGGCAGTACACCGACAAACAAACGATCGGTAGAGTTGCAACTAATGAGAAGGTTTCAGCTTTCACACTTTCTGGAAGCTAGAGATTACCCTAACATGTTTCAACAGGATTTACTACCACTGTGCTCACAAACTGAGAAAGATAAGAGCGTAGGTTGGATAGAGACCACTGACTGGCAAACTCGTATGCAAGTTGACAAACTAGCTTTTTCGAGACCACTGCCACAGGGCAAGTTGTGGGGCAACCTATCAGGTATATTCACTCAGGAAAACTACAAACTGAGTTCATTAGACTGTGATGATGCAGCATTGCTCGTTGAAGTCTACAAGGTTTTGTACCCAGACCTGAGCATTAATGCAAACCACATAGGCTTGTTAATCAAGAAGTTTGGCTCAGTTGTTATTGGTTCAACAAAGTTTGGTTCTAAGCTTGAGCCAAGAAGCATACGCTCAGCAAGAATTTTGGCATCTTGGACAAAAAGTGACGGAAGTATTAACAAGGAAACATTTTGCCTTTCACCAGGCACTGTGAGTTATTACTTCAAACACACACTTGACATCGAAAGCGAGAAAGTCACGCATGTGTTTGCCAGTGTAAAGTGGCACAAGGAAGTCCCTAACAGAGACAAAATCGGTAACCCAGTACAAGTGTGGTCACCAAAGTACCAAGAACCCGGCTGTTCTGTTTTTATGCCTGTACAAAGAACATACTCGCATTTTGCTACCTCAAAGTATGGCAACAGCAGAATTGCAGTATGTGCACTTTTGAGAAAATCCTTTTTGTAAGTAGCAGTGACAAAATTCGGTACAGTGACACATGCAATATATGGAGAACATTATTACAGTTCTAAAGTTTGTTAGTTCACCGCCACCGGGTATATTATCACACATATTATCGCTACTCCGGGTTTTAAAAAAACAAATGAATGCAACTAAATAAAAGTAACAATTCACGATACATTCACTCTTATTTAGTTGCACTCATTTGTTGAAAAAAAACGGGAGTAGCGATAATATGTGTGATTACTGTATTACAGTTGATTCTCCATAATACTCTTCCGACGTACAGTACAGTAGGTTCCGGAATTTGCTTCCGATACAGTATACGTTCCCAAACGGAACCATCAAATACCAAGCTGGGTATTTGATCTGGATAATCTATTTTCTTTCATGACAAAAAAAACAACCATCATTTGTGCAATACACCGGATATATTATGAACTAACTGTAAATATTTGAATTTCAAGGACGAAATGTTTTCAAACTCGTCAAGCACCCTACTGTAAATAAACTGATATATCAATGTATACCATTTCACAACAAATGAAACAATGTGTAATAACCTTACTTATTATTATTAGCATGACAAAATTACTGGATGCTGATTGGTTGAGACTTGAGAGGAATACAATTATTTCATTAATTGTACTGCAGTACAATTAATTATTTTCCCAAAACAAACAAAATGGCGGAAAGGTATTTTGACAAAATACAAATGTGAAATGAAATTGCCCTAGAAGAACTAGATGAAAATACGAACAAAAGCACCAAATGTTGCTTTGACAAAAGAACTCGTTAAAAACGAACAAAAGCACCAAATTTTGGTTGATAGTCTGGCAGGACTGGGCTTCGGCGAGAGAATATGATGTTGACATTCAGAAGTATCCAATTTTGTCATGCTAATAATAAACAAGTAATCATGTTATGTTGCTCGTACAATTAGGGATTAACTCGTCCAATTTTGGCAAAATTTCCAAACATCACTCGTACTATTAATCCCTAACTGTACTCCCCATCGCATGATTACCTACACTTAGAGTACAGTACAAATAATATGCTCGGGTCTCGGGTCACTCAATGCCCCCAATGGTTAACCGAGACAACAGTGACCATAGGCAGCCCAGCAAAATGTGTAAAAATGCATTAAACGCTTAGAAATACGTATAAAGTTCGTCTCAATTTGCTATCAAGCGATTTATTTGTGTAGCTCATTATACATTTCATATACAATGACGTAAACATCGGAATCTGCATGTATAATGAGCTACACAAATAAATTGCTTGATAGCAAATTGAGAAGAACTTTATACGTACAGTATTTTTAAGCGTTTAATGCATTTTTACACATTTTGTTGGGCTGCCTATGCAGTGACTATAGATTTCGTCTCTGGTTTCTGCATGTTAGTACAGCCAGCGACTGAACAATGAATAGATTGCCTGATTATATTGTACAGCATGTACAGTGTACACCATCTGTTATTTGTCTCTTACTTTGTGCGAGACATTTTCACTCTTCTCAAACCGAAATAAATACTCTGAATTCCCCGTATTCATGTTTCGAGTTAACCATTGGCATTGAGGAACAAGGAATACGGCAATTTTATTATTTTACAGTGTCATGTTTTATACTTAATCATGCTTTAAATGCCGCAAAATATCCTTGACTAATATTCTACTAGCTGGGTTCGGAGATACAGAGTTCCTATAAATTGTTTTTAAAACTTTACATTTTAGTTGTAAGGCTTTGTAAATTGTCGAAAGCATAATCCCAAGCGAAAAAACATCAGAGGCAAATGACTGACAATGGGTACCAAGAATTAGCTCTGGAGCAAGGTGCCAGTGATTTTTAAAATATTTTTCTTGTTGTTTTTTGTCTAATTTGTACCACTTGGCTTGTGATACCCTTCTGCACTTTCCGAAGTCAATCAAGATGGGATGGATGCATTTATTTCTCTTCGTGATCAAAATGTTATCTGCCTTGATATCGTTGTGCAGAAATGACTTTTTGTGAACGAAAAGAAGTATATCTGCAACCTCATAGAAAATTCTATGCCACTCCACGATGTCAAGCAACATACCTGACTTGGATACTTGCTGCAAGGTGGTAGAGTTTCCATCAATTCCATGAAATTGCATGACCATTAGGAAAGGTTTTACTTCTAAACAGTAGCCAAACAACAATGGTAATCCTAACAAGGAACAAAAAAACTTGTTTAGATTTTTGTCACTTATATAACTTTCCCTTTCTTTATTTTTACAATGTGTGGCTTTAGGCATTTACAGTATAATAAAATAATAAAAAATATTGTTTTGCAAATATTTTAAATAAATAAATAAAAAAACATTCAAATTAACATAAAAAGCATAATTTGAATTAACTTTAATGTTTTGCTGGTACCAGTGTCACAGGAATTTTGCCCCTCGGTCTCCCCCTAGGAGATTCGCAACCCTCTCATAAAGGGAAGGACATAATCCTAGGGATATCGCTCCAGGGGGCAAATACCCTATTAATTTCGTCCCCCCTTAAAAATTTGCCTCCCCCAAAAAATTCTTTGAATTTGAATTTTTGATCTAAAAAAAATTGCAAGTTGAAAAGAGCATTGAAAAATATGATTTATTTATTTATCAAGGAGACAAAATTACATTGACATTTTAGAGTCAGCATAACCACTCCAGACATTTATACTTAGACTAGTGTCATATGCCTCATATTCCACACATCTAAAGTGAAACCATTGCCCACAGAGACGCTATCACACACTTAACCGCCTGTCAATGTCAACAACAAATTTAAGTTAAATTTATCTAATCGAAAAGCCACTATATACAGTTAGTTTCATCCGTGAACAAATATCAGGTTCAGGTTCAGTGGCAAAACACCATTCTCTGAAAAAGCCTAAATCCGCAGAGAAATTGGGGGGTACGCGTTACATCCTCGAAGCTGAAACTGATTAAGTACGTCTCGACTAAGGAAATCGACGAGGAACTTGATCAGAACTTTGTAAAATCTCGTTAAAGCAGTTGTAGATATGGTTCCAAGAAGAATAGATTTAGTTTAGATTTACATGTATGCATTATCATAGCATGAATATTCTTCTCAGACTTGTTCTGTATCGTATAAAAAAGCAACGCAATTTTGAGAATGCGGAAATGCTGTCTCATAGAACCTAGAATGATTTAAATGCAATATTTCTGATCAAAATCACATTGGGACTTTCTTCCCCCAGCATCACAGAGGGGAAATAAGATGACGCTGACCGGCTCTTCCTGTTTTTGATTTAATTTAATTTATTTAATTCCGAGTAGAAAATTAGAAATGTCTGGGAAAATTTATGTCTTTAATGTACTTTATAATCTTCGGAATTCTGCAAGATTTCACCCCCAATTTCACCCCCAAGATTTCACCCCCATTTCAGAGACTCTAGATTTCAAAATTTTCACGGGGGGGCATGCCCCCGGACCCCCCTAGATGGTTTCGCGCCTTCGGCATTCGCTTCGCCCCCTCAAAAATGAAGGTCTGGCTACGCCACTGACCAGGTTGTAACAATAACACTGAAAACGTTAAATGTAACTGTAATTAACAATTTTGAATTTATCATGATTTCAAATGACTACCCTGGTAGAAATCTTATTTAAGATTCTACAAGATCCTATAAGATCCTATAAGATCTTACAGGATCCTATTTAGGAACAAGATCTTATTTAAGATCCTATTTAAGATCTTATTTAAGATCTTTTCTTATTTAGGATCCTAAAATTTCTTAAAAGATATAATCAAGATCTTAAAATTTTCTTAAAAGATATAATCATGATCCAAAACTGATTGTAATGGACTCTAATCAGGATCCTAACGTTTTGTTAGATGATTTAATCAGAGTCCTTGAGTTTTCTTATACGATTTTATCTGGATCTTAAAGTTTTCTTATAAGACTTAGTCAGGATCCTAAAGTTTTCTTATAAGATTTAATCAGGATCCTAAAGTTTTCTTACACGATTTAATCAGGATCTAAAAGGTTTTTACAAGATTTAATCAGGATCTTGAAGGTTTCTTACAGGATTTAACCAGGTTCTTAAGGGTTTCTTACAAAATTCAATCAGAATCCTAAAGGTTTCTTATAAGATTTAATCAGGATCTTAAAGTTTTCTTATAAGATTTTATCAGGATCTTGAAGTTTGCTTATAAGATTTAATCAGGATCCTAAAGTTTTGTTATAAGATTTAATCAGGATCTTAAAGTTTTCTTACAAGATTTTATCAGGATCTTAAAGTTTTCTTATAAGATTTCATCAGGATCTTAAAGTTTTCTTACAAGATTTAATCAGGATCGTAAAATTTTCTTATAAGATTTTATCAGGATCTTAAAGTTTTCTTATAAGATTTAATCAGGATCTTAAAGTTTTCTTACAAGATTTAATCAGGATCTTATAATTTTCTTATAAGATTTTATCAGGATCTTAAAGTTTTCTTATAAGATTTAATCAGGATCTTAATTAAAGGTTTCTTACACGATTTAATCAGGATCTTAAAGTTTTCTTATAAGATTTTATCAGGATCTTAACGTTTTCTTACAAGATTTAATCAGGATCTTAAAGTTTTCTTACAAGATTAATCAGGATCTTAAAAGTTTTCTTACACGATTTAATCAGGATCTTAAAGTTTTGTTATAAGATTTTATCAGGATCTTAACGTTTTCTTACAAGATTTAATCAGGATCTTAAAGTTTTCTTACAAGATTTAATCAGGATCATAAAGTTTTCTTACATGAGGATCTTATAGGATCTTACAAGATCTTATAGGATCCTCTTTAGGAACAAGATCTTAATTAGGATCCTATAGGATCTTAATTAGGAAAAATGGATGGTTTAGGATCTTAATTTCAAGCAAGATCCTACTTAAGATCCTAAGATCCTACTTAAGATCCTAAGATCCTACTTCGGATCCTAATTCAGGATCTTAACATAATTTCCTATAAGATATAATATGGATCTTAACATTTTCCTATAAGA